AATGTAATTTACAACTTTCCTTTGTGAATTAATTTCTTGCATGTCTTTCAAACTCTGTCTTCCATGTTATTACTGGATGAAAATGCATAGAGTAATTATCAACAAAATGTGAACAGAAATCCATTACTATCTTTGTATTATAAAAGTAGAAGAATTTATAAAATATTTTTAAGGACATTTTTGATACATTATTGACCTAATCAGTGGCAGATATTTACAGTCAAGGTCACAGAACAGAAAAGGTTTAAATAGAAGAAAAAGGCATCATGATAGCTTTTGTCATTAAGCTATCATGTAAATAAAAATATAAACCAAATAAATTAGCTGGATATTTTCTTGGGATTATTTGTTAAGGGTTTCTCTCTTTTTCAAGTAGACCAACTTGGATTTTTTTCATTGCCTTCATAATTACCTTCAGTTGAATTTTTTTGTCATATTTTCCACTTTTGTTTTATTCAAATAGACAGAGGAGCACTTTGAATGACTGTTTTAAGGATTTCCCCCTCACACGCAGACACGCAAACTTCACTAAAGTTCGGCACGTTGTCGCAGGTGAACTCTCCTGCTATGAACATGTCAAAGGAATGTTGCTTATATAGGGGACTTAAAAAACACCACAAACCTTATCTCTTACCAACACACCTTTTGCTTGAGAGTCGGCAGTAGTAGTGCTTTATGGTGTTCAAAGTTTGTTCAGTAGTGGTGTTTCTTCCACTTCCTTAATCAGATCTTTATACCATTAGTACCTCTCACCATTAGCTTACTCTGTTACTAAACATGGCTTTTCTATGTTCAGATGGTATACATTATTCATTAATAATCTCCCTGAAAAAAGCTGTGAAAACACCCTTCCTGTATCTCAACACTTAGTGTTATCTAGCCTTTGGATTACAGCTGGGGTTTTTATCACCAACAGTCTTCAGCTTCCTGACCCATTCAGGTGTTCAGGGTTATGTTAGGATGAGTATCCAGTTAGTGATCCAGTTCCAGAAATGCAGAAACTTAATCCTTTATCTAAAGATTCCTGAATAAGTATCCTCTTGCAAAGACTGATTTTTTTGGGTCGAAGCATTTCATCATAGAACTATAATTTATATAATGTAGCCTCTTGGAGGCCAGTATGTTTAACAATTAAAAATTATCACGAACTTGAGTATGTAGATTATATTTTCTTTACTTTTCAACATTTGGGAAAGCCTTTTGGATTATTTTTTTTTCCTCTCTGAATCTTCTTTACCATTATATCCCCAAAATGTGATTGTATTTAATTCACAACTTTTTTTTTTTTTTTTTTCTCTTGGAAGGAATATCTGGCTTTAACTTAACTTCTCCTCTGAGATTAATGAATACATACTGAAGAATCCTATCCATTATGTTACTAAATCAGGCATGCCTATAGATTAATCCAATATGGGGGGCTTTATTGGTTGAATTAGATTGGATGCAGAATAGGAAAAAGTAAATTGAATTATTGTGCCTTTATCCAGTTGTACCACTCAGCCATCCTGCTTAAAGAAACGCAGAATGGTGAATGGAAAAAGAAGTATTTTCCTTGATGGTACTACACTGGCAACAGGGGGACCCTCATCCATAGAGAAATAGGGAGTTAGATCACTTAATACTGAACTATTCTGGGTTGGTTAACCTAGCTTCTACGGGGTTAGAGATAACCTACAAGGATGATCACACCAAGTGAGAAATAGCTAAACCCTCCCTCCTTCCAGCCCATTTACTTCATTATCTTCACTGGAGACTCGCTGAAACTAAAGAACCTTTTTGCCCTGATCATTTTCTAGTTGGTCATGTTTGTAGGTAAAGAAGTGGTAGCTGGAGTGGTCTTCTTTTTAGCTGTCTCCTGCTTCACTGCACCACCACAGTCAAAGCCTTTTATTTCCAGTGGTAGCAGCAGCCTGCACATACATTTGCCTCTCTTTCGGCACTATTGCTACAGGCCTATCTGTTAAATCTTAAATATTAATGAGTCATTAAAAAGGGTATTAACATACTATGCTGGCCCTATATGTATGTCTTATTCTTCACAGTTTTACAGCAATTTCCATTAAAAAAACTCATTACAGAGATTATTGCGACATGCTTTGAAACAGCAGCATTCATTACATATTATCTATGTATTGAAGTTTGGGAAATTAATGCACCAGGAAATGAAATGACTCACCCAGGGTCACCAAAGATGTATGTTCAAGTCATGATTAAAATCCAAGCTGTAGATCTCCATTGTGTTTACTGCACAATCTTTTTTGCTCTTTCTTTCTAGTTTTTGTTTTTTTTTTTTTTTTTTCTTATGAACTGCATCCTACAGTTGCACATTCAGCTGGAAAATTCCACCGTGCTGCTTTTGTTGCCAAACTGTAATTGGCATTTAGCCAACAATTAGTCAAATACAGCTTGTTTGTCTTTGTGAGACTTCCCTTCCTTTGCTTTGAGGTTTAGAGGATGGAGAGAAAGTGCGATTACTGGGAAAGAAGAGCCAGTCTGTGGGTACGGTGGGCAGAGAACCCAGGAGACAGAGCCCAAGGAACTGCTCAAGTGATGAAGTGACCATGAGATGTGCTGCTGCTGCTGCTCTGAATCTCTTATCCACAGATGACCAGAGATATGTGGATTTTCCAGCTTTTCAGTGCTGGGGAGGTAGGGAGAAACAGAGGTTAGAGGTATGGAGGAGGTACGAGGAGAGACTGGAATGGAGTCCTTCCCTTACGCTCCCTGCTCTGATACATCCACTGCCCAGGAGGGCAGGGTGGAGATGGTGTGTATTTCTCTTTTTATTGGTTATATCTTCTGTAAAAAAGTAATACTTTAAGCACATGTCTGCTCCCAAAGTATGCCATTAGAGTCAACTTTCACAGTGCCTACAGCTTTCTGATCTGTGACTTGTGGGTGTATTGCCCAGGTGTCTACAGGGGACTTGTACTGGTGTCTGGAGGGGACTTGTACTGCACCCTTTAGAGGGAGACCCAGTAATTCTGGTTACAGGCAGCTTTTTTCTATCAGGTACGACAAGGGACCCTGTTCTTGGGACTAGCTGACCAAGAATCCCTGACATTTGTAGTCACAGTGTCTGTTGTACAGCAAATAAATATTTTTAGACTACATATTATATCATCGATAGTTAGTCATCATGTGGGGTTGGGCATTAATTTCTTGACTTCTCTTTCTCTTTTAATGCCAGATGGAGAGAAACGAACATGAAATTCAGAGCAAAAAAATTGTAATTTATATTTATATACAGATGAGTAAAGAATAATTTTCATTTAATAGAATTTGTCTTCATCCTGGAGACTTCCTGAATACTTCATCTTAGTTTTAATTAAAGAAAACAGATGTGTAAAAAAAATAATTTGTAATAACAACAGTAAAAAAAATTAACTTATGTTTATCATCTTTTTCATTCGACTTTTTAGATTTTTTGGAACACCACTCATCTGTAAACTACTATATACGTATATAGCCTGACATAAAGAATAGTATTTCAAGTTAGAGAGCTACTTTGCCTTTTTGCCTCATTTGCAACTGCAATTTGAGAACAGCTAGCCGCTGAGGTTCAAGATTTAAATGTGGGAACCATATAGATCCTGTGTAGCTGGTTCAAAGGCTGCTATGCCACACAGCATGCATGAACTGGACCTCTTCAGCTCACAAGATCCTTTCTTTTCCAATACAAAATCTGCAGTTTAGTTTCCAAAGCTTCCCATTTCCTGCTTTTCTTATCAGCAATACTTCTGTTTCCTGAGACAAGCTTAATGCAAGTTAATCTTTTGATCTGTTTGAAAAGATAACTTTGTAATGCAAATAGAACAAGACTCAGTCTTCAGCTGAATTCTCTTCTATTTAGATTTTTACACTAGACATCAGATGGACTACTGACTGTCTAGGTGTACTTTGCGAATCCAGACAAGGTAGAGCAGAAATAAGTGCAACTGCAACAATGGAGAATTACAGACCTAACTAGGAAGTGGCAAAATGGAATCCTTGAAAACATTCAAAATATTGTACTATCCTAAAACATGCTTAGTTTAATAGAGGTAAATATATACAGATTTTGATTTACACACAAGGTGTAGCACCGTGGGAGGACACTTAAACAGATCTAATGCTAAGTTCTGCTCAAGCTTGTGCAGGCTATTACTCACCTAACATATTAATCTCTGTTGTCAGCTTTAGTTCAACTTACATTTGTTTATTCTTTTGAGAATTTTAGCCAGTTGACTCAAACTTAGTTTCAACTTCAAGTCAATCATGTTGTTCCAATTTTAAGGAGCTCCATAAACCTTTGCCGAGGTGCAAAAATGCTTGCAGTTGTCCTGAGAAAAATCCATAAAAGATGTAAGAGTGTGGCTTGTTTTGACAAATTTCAACATGAGTCACGAATGCTCAGGATTCTTACACCTTTGAACAAGAATTTTCGAGCTGCATAATTTTGATCCCAAAATACTACCTCATGTCATGTTATCACAAATAAAATTCTCAGACCTTAAGACATTACTTTCTATAACTAGTTGCAGAATTATGACCTCTAATATACAGGAACTGTCTTATCCTCTCTTTACATTTTATATTCCCTGAATAATAGATAAATATTGAACTGCAGTGTCAGAAAAATTGAGAAATTCTGTTGATTTTGTATACATGGATATATGGAAGAATTTTGTTTGCTTCTGCTGATGAAACCTAAGGATCCCAGCTTCTTCAGTTGTCATAGTATTAATGCATATTGCTAGAGATTCATTAGTAATGCAAACTACTAGTAATTAGTAATGCAAACTACTACAAATGAGGTGGATTTTGATACGAATTTAGTCTCTTTGTGGTGCAGCTGCACCCAGACCTCAAACCTGGTGTTTCTTAGAATGTGAAAGTAAAAAGCACATGATGTTTTTCGTACTTCAAAAGTAAAAAGATCCTGTGAGAAGGGCACATGGTACACAGAGATTGGATAAAACCATGTCACACTCCAGTCACTGATTCCAGTGCTCTTTGAGATGAACCACGCAGCTCTCTTTATTGCTGTTCTCCAGCTTTGTGAAAGTAAGGTTGTTTTCTTATTCCTAGCTAACGCCTTTCCTTTTTTTAATGCATCATGACAGATCTGATTACAATTCACAAATCTCTTACTGTGGGATTCAGACAAATTTTAACTGTTCAATGATATCCCCAAGTTAGAAGTAACAATAACATCTAGAGTTTGGGGTTCTTTTAGTGAACTCTTTCTTCAGTGTTTTGCTTGTAGTGCTGCCAAGGTTGTTTCTGAGTTTTTCTATAATTTCAATTTTCAATTATGTTGATTCTGAAACTGAACTTCTGTGTGTGTTTTAGCCAATGTGGAAGGAAAGGTTGTGGATTCAACTGTAAAACTTAGTGAGAAGATGAAACTGGAATGCATATATCCAAAAAAGGCTGTGATAATCCAGACATCCTGGATGAAATTTAATGTAACTCATAAGGAAAATATAGCTGTCTTGCATCCAATCTATGGCATACATATTGAAGACAAGTACAATGGAAGAATTTATTTTGAAAATGCTTCCAGGGAAGACAAGTCCTTATCCTTCATCAAGAGCACTTTGGAGGATGTTGGTCTTTACTTTTGCTCCATTGTAACTTACCCAGATGGAATTTGGGAAAAGGTAATAGAAATTATTCAGCCAGGTAAGTAAATCTCTATTTGTTTTTTAAACTTCTGACATAAGCAAAACAGATATCCAGGTCAATTGAGGGAGTATCTGGCATTGTAATTTTTCTTTTCAATTATATAGCATGCAGAACTGGAGTAATTTGGAGAAAAGACCTATATTACTTTGAGAAAACATTAGTTTAAGAGAAGTGGGAAGTAAGGAGGGGAACTGACGGAGACGGACAGATGTCACAGCAGCCATGTATTACATGTCAGACTTCAGGTACTAATGGTCATTGTAATGGCAATATTTCCATTGGGAGAAGGTTCTCATAGCATTTCAACAAGCTATAGGATGTCTTCAGAGGATGAAACTGCAATTAGCCATGAAATTACATGAATGAACCTTGCAACTACCTATGGAATATACTATATATTTATGCTTATGTTCTATGGTGAGGGTACTCCTGGTCTGAAACTAGGATTGGTTTGTTTTGTTTTTTTTGTTTTTTTTTTTCCTAAACGTCTTCTGTGCTTGCTTTTTCAGGAACAAATTAACCATTTAGGAATGGTATGGCAACAAAAGGGGAGGGGGGAAGTAGGGAAGTTTAAATGAAGAAAAAAGAGCTTTTCTTTAAAAAGAGACCTTTTTAAAAATGGAAAAAGAAAGAAGGAAAGAGAAAGACCCAGTTATGCCTGTGTACTTTCTGTGTAGCTGCCCATGTACTCTGCAAAGGCTCTGTCATCGCCTGACCACCCATCCAGTTTGGTTTCCTTTCCCACTCTATAAGAGGAGAAAACCCTTTTCTGGCATTTTTCCATGTATGCCTATTCAGCATTAGTCAACTGACAACTCTGGTGCAAAGTACCAAGCTTGCCTGATAGAATTCCTTAGAAGATCATTATATACATACGATAGAATAACCTTCAAAAGATAACTAGTTTTGGTTATTGGTTTGTTGATTTGATATTGTGAATGTAGAGATAATCTGTTCCTCTTTCCAATGCTCGAGAGTGAAAATAGACTTCATTCAATATTTTATTGTATTTCACAGCTAGGAAAGAAAGGAGTTGAAAGGAAAATTCAGTTCCTACCATTTGAAAGACCAGAAGATAAAAATAACTGTTCTTTTCCTAGCCTGATCCTTCTGAGTCTTCATTTCAACCTTATTTTATCTACACTTCTGTAATTTCAATGTTACAATGAAACAGTGGACCTGACTCTTGTAGGTGATATCTGAACTTCAAAAATTCAAGGTATATTGTTCCTGTCTTCACCAATGAAGTTTTTTAAAACTTAATTTTAGCCAGCACATTTGTTGATGGCACTGATGAAACAGGATTCCCAATCTGTCTTCCTATCTCTGCTAGCTTTTTATTAGCAAACATCACTGCTCACCAGTGCAGAAATTAAGCCACACACAAGTTATTGCCCTCACTTTGAAAAAATATAAATAATATTATTCTGTCTCCCTTAGATTGTGTAGTTAGATAAGATAGTTTGGGCCTGAAATAATCTTCCCCATTGTGGCCCATTGTCATGGCCATGTAATTCAGTCTTTCACATGTAGAGGGAATGTCCTACTCATGAAAGGGTTGAGTGGGTTCCCTCAGGGCTGCCTTTCGGTCCAGGTCAGAGTTCCTCAACTGTGATTCTTTTAGTGTCATCTGTGAATGCTTGTTTTGCTCTGGTGTCTTTTTTATTATGTAAGGAATAACATAACTGCAGTAGTAACTCCCCAGTTTCTTTTTCTCTGGCAGTCCTTTTAGTGCACAGTAACTGTGTAATAATGTACCTGTAACTGTAATAATGTAAATGTAACTGTAGGCATTAGAAACATACTTTTTGGTTGCATTCAAATAAGCCAAGATCTGGAAATTCAGGTTGCTGTTTACAAAAAAGAACAGGCAAACTAGATCTCTTATGTGGTTTGGTTCAACATGAGTTGTGGCAGTGCTGAGCCCTTATTCACAGTGGGTTCATTTTCTGTAAAATCCTAACAGTTAGATGCAGTAGAGAACTGCAAGCTCATTTAGTCCTTTTCCTGGCCAAGGCGGTAACGATCCTGAATGTACTGGCTAGGGTTAATCTGAAACGATGCAAGAAACAAGGCAGTCACTTTCACATGGGCTTCAGTCCAGTCCACTTGCAAATTTCAGCACACTGTAAACCGCACCATGTGAGATTCAGTATTCTTAGTACGAAGGATTTCTCTCTTGGTTTGAGAATGTTAAAACACAAACCTAAACCAACAGCAACCCCCCCATTTTTCAAGTATAACAATTTAATCCTACTACAGAGGGAGATAATAATGTTGAATAGAAATTAATCCTTTTCCATTTAAAGAATCAAGGTTTCTGAGAACAGGAACCATCAATCCTGTTCAGCTCCTGATAGATGTGCATAAACGTGATCTTTACATACACTGATCTGAAGAGAATGAAGTGTATCAGCAGTGAAGATAAAATATTACTGCTTCAATCTGTACTGCAAATTAAACGTTATTAAAACCTGAGTTTAGAGAATGTATTTATTTATATAGTAGTTGCAGTAAAACTGTTATCAGTCAGGTTTTATCTTACTTTACTTGCACCTTCATCAGTGCTAAATATTTTAAACTCCCTGGATGGCATCTTGCTTTGATTAAATCAACAGTAAACTTCAAATTCATTTCCATGCAGCCAGTATTATAGCTTTCTGCTGACACTAGATATATAATTTTTCTTCTTTGTTGTCCAACCTGTAAAATTAGGGTTTTTTTATTCTGCACTAGGGAAGAAGCTCTGAGAAAGCTGAGTGTTAGTCTTATAATTTCACTGCACACAGTTCTTGTTCTATAGGAGTAATACACACAAATAGTTGAGGTCCTAGAAAATGAAGTGGTTTTTAAGGAATCTAATATTCTGTGCTCTAAAGAAATCTTGCCAACCAACTAGAAAGATCATTTTATAGGTAATTAAAACTTTTTTAGTTATGTTGCTTTCTTTGGCTGGGATTTAAGATTTATCGATTCCCAATAGACATTACTTTTCTAAAAGCTTTAATTTACTCACACTACCTCAGACAAATAAACAACTCACTGCAAAATCCATTTATTCTGTTTATAACAGTTAATCAACAAACATTTAATAGACTTTTCCTTTTTTTAAGGAATTGCATAATGCCTAACGCTTTGCAATTTATGGTTTTAGTTTTAAAGATTAGTTGGCTAAGCTAAAGTTGTATCTGTCTCTAAATGGGTGCAACTTTGTGGTCACATAATATTCAACATGAAACGTAAGCTTGTTCTAGTAAATTGGCAGAGGTGAAATTAAGTTGATATTACTTAGATTTTTGTCTCAATCAAAACTGAAGCCTGGTCTATAATTTAATTTGCGCTACCAGGGCATTGAAAATTGTCAGGATTTATCTATACTGACCTGTTACTGTGGGACCTGGAGACATTTCTGCACCAAATTAAGTAGGTAAGTATGCCATTGAGGAATCTGCAGTGCATACCTCGATGAAAACTGGCAACAGAATATAGATATAGAAGTTATGATTGGCTTTTAGAATTTCCATTGAATGGAAATAGCGGAAATAAATAGAAATAATGCCATATGGCATTATACTTATGATGGAGATCCTTAACTAGATTAAAATATAAGGCAAAATGTTCTTCACACAGCAGTCATATCTACTGGCAGTTACATAAATTTGGACAAAATATCTGCATTAACTTTTCCTGGCTTGCAAAACAATGAATGTTTCTTCACTCAAACTGTTCAAAATTGTTCTAGTGCTTCATTCTTGGTAAACAATAGAGGTCATGAGTCTGATTCTGCTTTCCCATGTTCTTTGTTTTTTTAAAACTACAAATACAAAGTGAATAAAATTGGTATGATTCTGACTTGTCAACATTTTTCATTTGCATAGTTTGAAGCCTCAAGTGCTGATGCTTAATTAGTCAATATTTCAAGTAGTGTCTAACGGTTATAGTAGTGTCACTACATCCAGCAACTCCAGTGTCAACAAGACCCTAACACTGCAAGATCAAGCAGTTTAAAAAGTTTGGGGATCATGACTTGTTTTTTTAAACAAAAACACAGAAAGAGAAGAAAGAAGTCAAGTATTTGAAAAGCATTAAATGTTTTTTTTTATTAGTATTTTGACAACATCTCTATTTCTTTCCCTTTAGAGTAAAGGCATCCTTATAAATAAAAAAGTCCACTGT